TAAGCATACAAGACTACAGATTGCAGAGTCGAACCCACAGCCTTAGTGAGTACTGGTTCTCTAGTATTGTATGAGAGTCTTCGTATACGTTTGCATATGTGTTTTAAACTTATTGAACGATAGCATTTTGTGTGTAAACCCCTTTGAGATATGGTATTGTGAGTGTAACAAACTCTTAATTATGATTAACGTAACACATTGGTTACGTATAGTCAATGTAAGTCAACGTTACGTAAAGCGAACGTGTACCGTGACATTAGCGCGTAGAGGCTTTATAGGCGATGGCTCTGTACTACTCAGTAGAGAACCTAATAGAACGACTTTGTTTGTTGTACGTTACACTCTGTGTTTGATCATACGTTCCTTCTACCCTCTGTCTATAAATCTTGGCACCCTAAGAGCGGTCTACAAGCTTGTGGACTCCACGCCGTAAACACCGTACCAGTAAAATCCAACAACTACGTTACCTATGTCCACTTGGTGTGAGTGACATACGAATTTGCAGTAACCTGTTGCTCAATTCTAGCTATACTATCTGCTGAAGCTAAGAGCACGAGATTGTATGACCACTATGCATGGCTACAATGATATACATGCTTTACTGATCAGAAGCGCAAGACCGTTATCACATATAGGGCCTCAGATGCATCTGACCTGCTTATTACTAGTCAGAGGACATCATTCTGGGCGTTCACTTGACAGAAGTGGCACAACTGCGGTGATGCCAGTAATACTGGTAAACTATGAGTAGATGATGAATAGTTGTCAGCTGCATAGGTCCCAAAGTGATATAAAAGTCTCAGCACCACGTTTTAGACTTGCGAGAGTAGCCATAAGCAGCCCTTCATTTGGTCAAGCCAGTTTGAAGCAGGTCTACATCCGACCTATCCCAAGTCTACGTAATATATGTCCTTGTATGCTCGAAACCGCATATTGCTCCTGAGAGTCTGTTGACTACTCACTCTGAACCTGTCGGAGTTCGAATAGCTGGCTGAGCCGAGACTCAGTATTCCCTTGACCCACTATCTGAGGAAGAGAGCCTTAGTCTGACGTCATAACGTGAGTTGAGCATCTTACTCGACATCCAATTATCTAATCTGCACACAACCTTTGTGAGTTAACTGTCACTTGAATCACTCAATTCAACCGCCTCGCGTCCGGCTATGACCCTATTGGCCATCAATGCTATTGTCCGTTCGTCTGACATTATACAGCAATTTTGCCAACTGTCAGGACTAATGAACTATCACGCGAGATTAGGCATCGTCCAACGCCGCGCTATAGCAGTCCGAATGCTCCGAAGAACGCGTAGGTCTTCACATCCTAATGCTTTCTGGACATGGCCTGTCATTGGAGAGACTTCTTACGCCATTTATCTGGGCAGATCATCGTGACTCTATTGAACGACAATATGAGCTGGTTGACACCAGAGAGATCGGTACGGGAT